ATTTTTATTAACCTCTTTTATATTTTTTAACCCTTTTTTTAACCTCTCATATTTTTTTAACCTTCTTTATTTTTGTTATTTTTTTTAACGTCTTTTATATTTTTTAACCTTTTTTTTGTTGTCTTTTTTTTTTAACCCCTTTTATATTTCTTAACCTTTTTTTTGTTGTCTTTTTTTTTTTTTAAAACCCCTTTTATATTTTTTAACCTTTTTTTTTGTATTTTTTTAACCCTGACCCTCCCCACCCCAGCGACAGCACCGAGGCCACTCCCGAGGACAACCTGGCCCGGATTTCTGTCCCCATCCTCTACGAGCCCGACCTGTTCCTGTCCAGGTGGGGCTGGGAGGTCCCGGGGGGGGTCACAGAGGGACACACTCACCCATGTGACCCCCCCAACCCCACCCCGTGTCCCCTCTCTGGTGACAGTGACACCAACCTGCAGCGCTACGAGGTTCAACCCCACGGCCCCGGCCCCGAGTTCAGCACCACGGTCAGGGTGAGGTGCGGGGGGGTCCCGGGGGGGTCCCCAAATGGGGGGGGGTGTCCTGTCTCATGGTGACCCCCCCCATCCAGGTGCAGAATTTGGGGTGTTACCCCGCGCACAACCTCACCCTGCACGTGGCGCTGCCGGCGCTGGGACACGGCCGGGCCACCCTCCTGTCGGTCACCCGCGTGCTGCCCGGGGACAACGTGAGCCTGGGGGGGCCCGGGGGGGGTCCCTGCACCCTCCCTGTGACCCTCCCCTCTCCCTGTGACCCTCCCTTCTCCCTCTCTCTCTCCCCTCTCCCTCTGACCCTTCCCTCTCTCTCTGACCCTTCCCTCTCTCTCTGACCCTTCCCTCTCCCTTCCTCCCCTCTCCCTCTGACCCTCTCTTCTCCCTCTGACCCTTCCTTCTCCTTCCCTCCTCTCTCCCTGTGACCCTTCCCTCTCCCTCTGACCCTCCCCTCTCCTTCTGACCCTTCCCTGTGACCCTCCCTCTCACCTCTCCCTCCTTCCCCTCTCCCTCTGACTCTCCCTTCTCCCTCTGACCCTTCCATCTCCTTCCCTCCTCTCTCCCTGTGACCCTTCCCTCTCCCTCTGACCCTCCCCTCTCCCTCTGACCCTTCCCTGTGACCCTCCCCTCTCCCTGGAACCCTCCCTTCTCCCTGTGATCCTCCCCTCTCCCTCTCCCTCTCCCTCTCCCTCTCCCTCTCCCTCTCCCCTCTCCCTCCTTCCCCTCTCCCTCTGACCCTCCCTTCTCCCTCTGACCCTCTCCCTGTGACTCTCCCCCCTGCCTCTGACCCTCCCCTCTCCCCTCCCAGGCCACCTGCACGCTGCGACCCCCCCCCGAGGGGACACGGGTGGTCCCGGTGCCCCCCGAAGACCTGCTGCGCGTGGACAGGCTGGTGGGCATCGCCGGGGAGGTTTTTTTTATTGGGGGGGGCGGGTTCCCAAATTTATTCTGGGAATTTTTTTTCGGCTCCCCCCTAATTCTTTGCCCCCCCAGGACTGTTCCAACACGTGGTGCGAGGAGCTGAGCTGCGCCCTGGGGGGGCTGGAGCGCGGCGGGGGGGTCTCGGTCCGGCTCCTCCGCACCCTCCACAGCGGCTTCTTCAGCGGGGTGAGCCCCGGGGGGGGGGGATTGGGGACCCCCACCCTTCCCTCCCACTCCAGGGAGGATCCAGAGGGAGGGATTGGGGGACAAATCCCACCTTTTTCTCGCCTCCAGGCCAAATTCCGGAGCGTGCGGATCGTGGGCAGTGCCTGGCTGGGGGTGCAGGGGGGTGTGTTGGTGCTGGGCGAGGGGGCGCAGCGCAGGGAGGTAGGAGCGACTCCCCCCCCCAAAAAAAAATTCCCTGTTTTTTTCCCGCCCCCCCACAAATCCTGTTTTTTTTTCCTCCCTCCTCCAATCCCTGTTTTCCCGCAGCTGGTGCTGGAGGTGCTCCAGGGCCGGCGAGTGCCCGTGTCCCTGTGGATCCTGGGGGGCAGCGCCCTGGGGGGGCTCCTGCTGCTGGCGCTGCTCAGCCTCGGCCTCTGGAGGGTGAGGGGGGGGTCATTGTCATTTTTGGGGGGTCACAGTGTCACCTCCGGGGGGTCACAGTGTCACCTTTGGGGGGTCACAGTGTCACCTCTGGGGGGTCACAGTGTCACCTTTGGGGGGTCACTGTCACCTCTGGGGGGTCACAGTGTCACCTTTGGGGGGTCACAGTGTCACCTTTGGGGGGTTCAATGCCCCCCCTCGAGGGGGTTCTTCCCACCCCCCAATCCATCCTCCCCCCCCCAGCTGGGATTCTTCTCCCGCCCGAAGCCGCCCCAGGAAGAGGAGGAGGAAGAGGAGCAGCAGCAGCAGCACTGAAGCCCTTCCCGATCCTTGAGGACATTCCCAGGATGTCCAGGGTTCATCCCGGGATTCTGCCGCCCCCCCCTCGGCTCCATCCCGGTGGGGGGGGGTGGGATTGGGCTGGCGGGGGGATGGATGAGCAGGTGAGGCCGGAGCCACCCCCTCCCACCACCACCCAGGATTTGGGAGGGAGACACACACACATGGAAGTGGGAAAAAAGCCGGGAATGAGTCGGGATGGACGGAGCAGCTCCAGCAATAAAACTCCGGGCCGTGCTCCCGCCGGACCCACATCCCTGTGTGTGCATGGGAACACTTCCCAATGTGGGGAAAAACCTCTGGAATGACCCCAAATACATGGAGGGACAGGGGGGGATTCAAATCCCAAATCCCAGCCCATGCCGGCCTCAGATTTAAAGCCCAAAATCCAGATTAAATCCAGCTCCATGGGGAAGGAATTCCTGATTTCTGGCTCGATGTGGGAGAGGGAGGAAGTGGGAGCAGGAAGGGAGGGGATGTGACCCCCTCCACCCCCCCCAAAATTCCCATCAGGAGAGCTGGACATGCTGGATAACAGGGAAAAGCACCGGGATAAACCCAGGATCTGCCTGGATTTTCCCAATCCCTGCGGATCCACAGCCCTGTCCTGGCTCCAGGAACAGCTCCCGGCAGAGCAGGGAAGAGGGAACAGGGACACCATTCCCAAATCCTGCAGGATCATTCCCCAGATCAGGGGTTTCCTTCCCCAAAAAGCCTTTCCCAAGTTCCTCCCCCCCCTTTCCCAGCTCCTACCCCCCCCTTTCCCAGCCCCAAGGATCCCTTGGGAACGGGAATTCCTTGAGAAAGGCCTTTATTGGACGGAAGAGCAAAGAAAACAGGGAATTCAATCCACGTGGACATGGAGCCACCAACCCCAAGAGGTTTGGGAATGTCCCACCCCCCTCCAGGGGGGGGGTCAGTGGATCCCAGGAGTCCCAGGATAATTCCAAGGATTAAGACCTGAATGAAACTTCACAGAAATGAGGGGAAAAAACTCCCTCAAAACAACCAAAGAATCGGCAAAAATAAAGATTTTCCTTAAGTTACTGGGGAAGGGGGGGGGGGGGGAATTCCCAAGGGATGAGCAACGTGGTCCATAATTCCTGTCTGGAATGGCGAGGGGGGGGTGAGGCTTGGACACACCTGGGGCCACAGGCACGTGGAAAAGGGTTGGAAAAACCCCAAAACAACCCTCACTCCCCCCAAAAAAAAAAAAAAAAAAAGTCCAGGATCCTGGAGCTGCCAAAATCCTGCTCGGAGCATTCCTGATCCCAGAGCATTCCCAGATTCCTGAGGGTCCAATCCCCCTTTCGGGAAGGGCTCCAGACCCCTCCTGCCTCCAAATCCCCCTGATTTTATAGACCCCGAGGATTCCACCCGAAACGGGGCAATAAAATCCCTCCTGCCCCACAATTCCAGACAATTCCAGACAATTCCAGCTTCCCGGAGCATGGGGAGATCCCCCCCAAAATCCCTTTTTCCAGAGGAGGCCGTGAGGGGACTCGGAGCCCCCACTGGAAAAAAAAAACCCCCACCCCTCTCCATCCAAATCCAATCAAATCACTGCCCAGAATTCCCAATTTAGGAGGAACGAGGCGGTTCCACGGAGCGGGAGGAGAAATTCCCGGGAGGAGAAATTCCCAGGAGGAGAAATTCCCGGGAGGAGGGCGCTCGGTGCCGCGATCCCGTGGGGATGGACCCCCCGAATTCCCGCTACTTGGAGGGGGGGTTTGTTGGAATTCTCAATGTACACCCGGAGCAGGGGCCGCTCCGGCCTCCGGAAGCCTCTGGAACGCTCCGGAACATTCCGGGAAAGGGTCAGAAAGTCCATCGCTCCTGCAGGGGGCTGTCGGAAGCGTCGGGATTCGGAGTTTGCCGGGTGGAATCTTCCCCCTTGAGGCTCTTCCTGCAGACGGGACACGTGTCGTGCTGCGGGGAATCAGGGAATTAGGGAATCAGGGAATCGCGGAATCAGGGAATCGTGGAATTAGGGAATCGCTGGATCATGGAATTATAGAATCATGGAGTTATAGAATCGTGGAATCACAGAGTAGTAGAATCAGGGAATCATGGAATCATAGATCATGGAATTATAGAATCATGGAATCATGGAGTCATGGAATTATGGAATTACGGAATCTTAGAATCATGAGGTTATAGAATCATGGAATCATAAAATCACAGAATCATGGAATTATAGAATCATAGAGTCATAAAATCATAGAATTATAGAATCATGGAATCATAGAATCATGGAATCATGGAATCACAGAATCATGGAATTATAGAATCATAGAATCATAAAATCATAGAATTATAGGAGCATGGAATTATAGAATTATAGAATCATGGAATCACAGAATCATGGAATTATAGAATCATAGAGTCATAAAATCATAGAATTATAGAATCATGGAATTATAGAATCATAGAATCATGGAATCATGGAATTATAGAGGCGTGGACCAGATCCCA